GGGGGGGGGGGGGGGGGGGGCACAAAGACGGCAGTCATGGACAGAGGGGTATACAAAAAAGACTTGAGGGGTGTGCCATCCCCCCGCCCGCCGTGGCTTTCGCGCATGTTTCATGTTTCAAGCTTCCTACGCGGGGGCGTTTTGACGGAACAACCAGGTGCGCAAGAGGCCACCGCAGTAGCTATCCCTCTTCCCCTCGCTGCCTCGGCAAGGCTTTTGCTTGGGCATGGCCCATAGCGAGGGGTGGGGGTCTTTCTAGCAAGTATGGCTAGACTCACCCTCAAGGGACCGATACCTTCTTGCTGCGGCAGACCCGCCGCGAGGCGTGCGTAGTGCTGGAGTTGGGTCGGCACTGGTGCGTCAGGTGCAAAGGTGAAGATGCGCGGGCCTCATGGCCGTTGGTGAATAGATAGCAATGTCCATCTCAGTTTTGTGCGCGGAGGCAGGCGCCATCAGAAAGGTGGACGGGCAATATGTACACGGCCCCAGCTTAGCTAGAGGGAGCTGTACTGTCTCAGTAGCCTGGCTTCGCCATCAAAGAGGAGGAGGGGACAGGTGGTGACGAGCTGATTGGGCTGGTTGACCCTTCGGCGCGAGAAGTTTCAGACCAAGAACCGTAAGTGCAACGAGGGAGAAAGAGAGGAACCGACTGGGAAGGACAGCAACGAGAGCGTGTACGGACGGAGCGGGTCGAGTTTGGTCGTGGTAGGACTGGCCGCAGCGGCACCGGAGCACACGGACGACATCGAACCGTGACGCAGGGACGACCATTCTGTGTTTATCAAATTGTTTCCTTTTTTTTTTCCTGGGCATCGGTGTTGGGTGTGTGTGGCGACGTCATTGGGTTTGCAGAGAGACGCGGCAGAGATGGCGCGGACACCCCGGGTGCATTTCGTGTGTACCTGCATCGTGGAAGACCCCTTCAATGTGGAACGATGCCTAGTCAGTGTCGAATATGTACACTGCTACGTCCAACACAGATGATCGGGGGTAGATTCGGTGATTGGCAAAACGGACGGCCGCATTCTGACAGCACTTCAGACAGCAGTTGCGCGCCCCGAACTGGTACCATGCCTACAATGGTGTTAGTGCACAGGCAGCACTCCAGACAGCTGTATGCTGTAGTCGACATCCATTTTGGTAATGTGTGGGATAGGGGGGATGATGTGCTGCTGTCCAGCGTAGTGTGTGGACGGGTAGTTCAGTTTTTGGGCACGCCAACGTGATGCAGGGATGGATGTAGGTGTACCTCTTCGGGCTTGTGTACCCTTTTCTTGCCAGTAGTGTGCGTGTTCTTCAGATCTTCTGATGGCTCTGTAATAGCATTTTTATGACCACGGACCGTCTTTGCCACATTTTGGGATTGGCAACTGACACGAGTCTAGGGTGAAGACAGCAACATCAACAACAACAACAATAGCAGCAACGAAGGCGACGACGATGACGATGATAGTAACAATTTCGGCGCACATGAAGGCAAAACGGGGTTACCTTGCTCTTTCCGAACTGCATGGTGTCCTCCGGGATGTTCTTCATGCTAACCATTGCCGGCGACAGCACGTTCTTGACAAGGTCCTGCAAACACACACACGATGCATGATGCATGCAGGCAGACCAAGGGGAAGAGACCAGAGAGGAAAGATAATTTGACCTCTCCTGACAAACGGGCGTGCAGTCAAGTTCTACCGAGCCGTGTCCCAAAACCAACACGCCAGAAGTATTGAGGCCGCCGCCCTTAGCCTCTACAAGCCGTCCGGGCCTCAACCAGCACATAGCTGTACCCGGTCTGAGCCTGCGTGCCAAACAGAAAACACACACACTAGAAGGGGGGGAAATAACACACAACAAGGGCCGCGTCCTGTCGTGTCTACGGCAACATGCACGCACGCAGACACCATAAACAGAACCTGCACACGTACCCGGCGGCTTCAGCGCGCCAAATAACGTACAAGAGCCCCACCTTACACATCTTCTGGGCGACAGTGCTCGTGCCGGTAAGTCTCATCGGATACTTGGACTTCTTGACCTTGGGGTCGAGGGAGATCAAGCACCGGTAGCGGGTGTAGAAGTCCTGCCACGCGTTTCGGGGGGTGGGGTGCGGCATGCCGAATGTGGGAGGGGGGGCAAACATACGGAGGTGCTGAAAATTCTCGCACAGCACCAAGCACGAAGGCGCGCGTGGGCGGGGGGCTCACGGAGGGTACCCTGGGTCTTCGCACAACACGACGCAACTCACGACCAGGTCCAGTACAGCAGTAGCAGCAGTAGCAGCAGTGGCAGCAGTGGCAGCAGTAGCAGCAGGACTAACTGGACAACGGGGAGAGTCTTGTCTCCCGCTTCTACACTACAACATCTATTTCAAGCAGCCGCCTGCTTGTCTATGCCAACCGGAACCAAATCTCCAAGAAATGCAGCACGATGCATATTCTGCAGCATTGCGGTTGGAGGTAACACAGTTAGGGGTGTCAAAGCGGAAAATTTCCTATAGGAAAAAAAACGAACAAGCGTCCTCGGATCTTGCTGATGGAAAATCGACCAATGAAATTGCACGAAACCGTCGGAACCTCCCGAAAAGACCCTCTGACGCACACGCGCGAGGGCGCGGCTCGCCTGTGTGCTTTGCGCCCTGCTATGTGGCACAGCACAACACCATTGCGCGGTCCCACTCTCGAACACATGCCTCATGACACACCCGAGCAGCAGCCGGGCGGTGAAGCCACGCAGACACCTGCCGCCGCCGCTGCTGCTGCTGAAAAAAACAGCAGCAGCAGCAGCAGCAGCGGCGGCGGCGGCAGCGAGGTTGAGCCTGGCTCTCTTCCACAATTTTTTTACTTTTGACCAACTCCCCCTTCGTTTCCTCCAACATTCTCTTTACGACGGTGAGGCTGCCGCGTTCGATAGCGCGCCGCGTGTTATCTTCTGCTGACGCGGCAACCATACACTGCCCCGTCCTCTCTTCAAACTTCGTTTTGTGTTGATTCAGCTTTCGCGCAGCGCGCCTCCTGCTGCCGAACGGCGCGGACCTCGATTGTTTTTTGGGGAGGGTCTGCTGGTGTGGGCACTGCAGCCCCCCTGGAGGGGCCGTTTTCAGACAAGTAGATCTCGTGGTTGGCTGATGCGATTCGGATGCGGTTTGTTGTGTGGTATAGCTGTAAACCCAAGGTAGAGGGCTGTAAGATCGCTTTTTCGAGAGGAGCAAAGGTCGCCTTGGGCGTGGAGCAAAGAGCCCAAAAAAACATGTTTTTTTGGTGTTGTTCGTCCGCCCTTTAACTTCAATTGAATCCAATCCTACAGTCACCTCTATTGGACCTGTGTCCAGGTGTGTGTAACGCATGAAGAGCCATGCTGCTGTCTAGACGCAGAGCTGCCTGTACAAACAAATTGACTTGATGTATCATTTATTCAGTATACACAGCGGGATTCTCAAGAACCAAAAAACGAACCAAATCCGCGTGCCCCCCTCAAATTTTGCCGAATGGACCGGACGTTTTTTTGGCCCCAAATTCCACCGCTTTAACACCCCTAATAGTTTAAAGTACGGCACGGCAGATGTACCTTGTGGGGGAGCCGGACGGGGTATCCAGATCGGGCGACTCGAACGGCCTCCAACACGCCTCCGTACCGTAGCTGCTCCATGACTCGCACCCTCGACACCTCGTCGGGCTCGGCGTTGTCGTTAGGCTTGATACACCGGATGTAATGCGGACGTGTGTCCCTGATCCAAGCCACAAGAGAGCAAAGACGCAAGGAGAGAACACAAAAAGCAAAGCAAAGGGGCGTGAGCTCTCGTACCTACCTTAGGTATTAGATATTGTAGCGCGGCCGTGCCTCCCTGCCTCCCTGCCTCCCTGCCTCCCTGCCTCCCTACCTCACTACCTCACTCACGAGTTCAACATCAGGAAAGACGATGACGAAGGCACAACTAAGCAGGCAACTACAAACAGAGACGCGGGAACTCGTAGGTAAAATCGTCCTTTCTTACACAACAGCACCACCACCGATTTACCCTGGACATTAAACAACAGCCTGACATCACCTGCTCCTGACATCGCCTTCATGATGCACACAAACCGCATGGTGGGAACAACAACAACAACAACAACAACAACAACAACAACAACAACCCCATAACCATGACACCTCTCATCGCATCACCCCCAACCGAACAGGCCAATAGCCCACCTGATCATGTCCATCAGGTTGTGAAGCTGGTCCTTGAACTGCGTCCCCACGGTGGGCTTGAGCCCCGCGACTCCGCTGGCGTCCTTCTTGGGCTTGGGTGCGGCCGGCTTCTTGCCCTTGGTCTTGGCCTTTTTGGCTGGACAACATCGCAAGTACGACCCAAGTACAGTCCGCCAATGCCAACATCGCAACTTAAACATTTACAACATGGCACAGCTTACAAGATACTATCTTGCCTGATGAATAGCGCGCTATGACAGCAGTAGTCGGACAATACAAGTACGCCAATGCCAACATCGCAACAATTACATAATGGGACACCTTACAAGAGACCATCTTCCCTGATGCATAGCGCGCTATAAGAGCAACACCGAGACGGTTGGTTTTTCGCAACATGACATGTTCTCTGTTGTATGCATAACATCTGACGACGACTCACTGCTACGGCCATGGGCGCTGCCGTCCGCGCAACAAGATTGTGCAACACTGTGGAATTAAACGTGTGCACACGAGGACCGCCTTGGTCTTCTCGCCGCGCCCCAGGATACTGTAGGTGCACTATCACCAAGCAGGTCCTGTAGACAAAAAAAAGCAACGTCGAAACCTTTGGCGGTGTGTAACTTATCACATTGTACCTCAGCCTTGGCCTTCTTGCCCCGCCGAATAGGCACAACACAAAAAAAATTCACTGTATCACAATATCAACACATGGAGTCGACAGCGCACACATACGCGCTACGCAGACGGACTTAAGCAAAATATGTGGCGTCGTGGGNGGGGGGGGGGGGGGGGGGGGGGGGGGGGGGGGGGGGGGGGGGGGGGGGTAGGGTTGCTCACCTCCCGCAGGTGCGAACAGGTTGACGACGAAGTCGTTTGTGCTGCTGGCGAACAGCTCGTCCGACTCCTTGGGAAGCTCGTCCTTGTTCTTGTCGCAGAACGTCTCCACATGGTACTCGACCTGCGCGTCGTCGTTGTTACCGTTGTCGTCAAGTGTCGAGAGGATAATCTTGTGTTGTTGACGAGATCTTCCGAGAGCTAGATTGTCCAGTCAATGATTCTGTCTTCGCTTTCTTGGTCATGCCTACAAAAGGTCTGTACAAGGAGAGCCAAATCTCACGTACCGGGCAGAGGTCTGAAATATTTCCATATAAAACAGTCTCCTCTCTTGAAACTCTTTAACCGCAGCCGCTAGTGCTGTGACGGGTTAGACAGCACACGGAGACTACTTGCCCGGTTCGCGTCGTGCTTTGCCGCGAAGCAACGTCCCTCAAATGCGGAAATATCTCACAAAAAACAAAAGTCATCTATAACCCTAATCGCCACCACTGTGACGTTAGGAACAAGGAGACTACACCTGCCGTTGACTTACCTGGCCCGCGTAGTGCTTAACCGCGAAGCAAAGCTTGGTCCGCATGGCGCTGTCCGCCTCGAACCTCTCCGTCTCCGCGTGCTCCTTGTACAACCGGCTGGCGTAGTTGGCGTCGGTGCCGCGGATGCCCATACGGCACTCGTCGTCGAGCATGGTCAGCAGACCCTTCTTCTTCCCCTCGATCAGGTCCAGGCAGTCCTGCGGGGCAAACGATCGCACAAAACTCAACGCAATCAGCTTTAGGGCATACCGGCTTCCCCCCAAGAAAGGATGTGGACTATGACGAGACGGCGACACTCTCGTTGACTCGCCCTGTGACAACACAGACATGAAACCGCACTGAATAATACCTTTCCAGTCCACACTGCCGGACAACGCTCAATCCCTGCTGAACGGCAGGCAGCAACAAGGCAAGGCACTCGTTACAGTACCTGGTTGTCTGGGAACTCCACAAAGGACCACTCGATCCCCTCCTTGCTGTACTCCTTCTGCTCCATCTTGAACACGAACTGGTTGAACTGCTGCTGTAGAGTCTCGTTCGTGTAGTTGATGCACAGCTGCTCGAAGCTGGTCACGATTTCGGGTCACCAACCAGTTCATCATAGAGCCAGCCAGCCAGCCAGCCAGCCAGCCAGGTAAACCAGAGTTCAGACACGACATCAGCAGCGGCAGCAGCAGCAGCAGCAGCAGCAGCAGCGGTAGAGGCAGCACACGACATGCCATGGCGAAGGAGGGGTTAAAGGTGAGGTTCTGGACCCTTCCGGGCAGCGTGGTGACTGGGGATTGTGGACACGTACACAACCCCAACCCTAACCCAAATGCACCCAAGCTGCTCGTGCTGCAAACTCAAGTTACCACCCATCATCCATCCTGCTGGGCCTCGGACAGCATAGCACTTAAACCTTCAACTCCTACGGCAAGACCTACAGATCTCATGGCGGCTCGAGCAACACTCCCGCCCAAACCACGCCAACAGCAAACAACGTCACAACCCACGCCACAGCAATCGAATCGACCACGCTAACGAACGCACCTGTTGTGCTCGAAGCACTCGAACCCGAAAATGTCCAGCACCCCCACGGAAGCCTTAACCTCCTTGCGGTCGCAGTTGATGTGCGAGTTGATCGTGGCCACCAGCCAGTTGAACAGCTGCCCGTAGAAGGCCTTCGCCAGGGCGTCGCGAGCGTCGTACGCCTGGTGGTCCTTAAGCTTGATGGTGGTCTTCTCCTTTCTAGGACCGACCTCGATGGTCTTGGACGTGAGGGCACGAAGCAGACCCTCCTCCGGCAGGTAGCACAGCCGGCACACCCGAGCCATGCACTCTCTGGGGAGGGGTTCAGGGGAAGGAGGCATGTCATCACCAGGCAAGCGGTGTCCTTCGTGGAAATGGTAGCAGCGGCGGTGGAGGCGACTGGACTAACAGCTACACCAGCAGTCACAACCACAAACAAGCATCAGCAGCAGCAGCTGCCAAAACACGTACCACAACGGCAAAGCAACAAGCACGCACCACACCGACACCGCAGCGTCAACATCAGCTGCGGAGGCATCACAACCAACAAGCCACGACAAACAGTCTTGAGGTCTGTCACTCACTGGTTTTCTTCCTCATCGGAAAGCATAGCCGCCTCATCTTCCTCGTTAGCCTCGAACTCGAGCTCTCCGAGGTGGATAAGTCCCGCCATGATATCGAAGATAGTCTGGATTGAGCTATCCTCGAAACCCATCGTCTGTCCGAACCAAAACGGAGGCACCCCCCCGCCACGGCACACGGAAAGATAGACATGAGCACGCGAAAAGGATAAGGCAAAGCGACGAGGCATACACTCGGGGGTTTTATGAACGGTGTCCATAGGCAGCGATCGATGGCAGTTACTCGGTAGACAAAGCAAGCAACAGCGAGTGACTTAAGTGACGGTAGGCGGCAAACTAGAGATGAGCATGAGAAAAAGGAAACATCAGCGAAGCCACGAGCAGCCTTCGAGCCGAGAGGGAGAGTCGGGGGTGTCCTGAACGACCTCCAAGAGCATAGCGCGACCCGACAAACCTAGCAGCAGCGAGAGACACCAATGTGGTGGGCTTGAATCTCCCTTTTCTCACCGTAAGAGCGGCCTTCGTCTGCACGAACTCGTCCTCGTCCTCCACTTTCCTGAGGTCGTAGCAGTCGCCCTGGTTCACGAAGTGATACTCCTCCGGACCTGAAACAAATCGCCATTCGGGCGTTCGTCCAAAGTCCAAAGGCAAGCAACCGTGTTCAAGGCCACACAGCGGTCGCTCCCAAAAACGTACTTAGCAGCGTTGGGTTAACCCTGTGGCCGATTGTGATCCGAGGAACTCTTCTTTCGAGAACGCGTGCCACAATCGAATACACCAAGATACAGCAGTCACTACCGATCTAACTTCCTCAAAAGTCTGCCACTCCTAGTAGATACAGCTCTGGTACATTTCCCCCTCGAAGTCAACAACGCCCCCGTCACGAAAACAAGAAAGCGGGGTGATATTTCCGAAGACATGCAGAAATCGCAAGTCTCAGGCACGCTGCGAGGGCAAGCCAAGTCGCGTCAAGTAGATACCGAATTCCATCAGCAGCAGCCTCGCATCCTACCATCCTCTCTCCTCCCTTCCGCTTCTTCACCTCCACGAACTCCCGAAACTCAATCTGATGCGGAAAACAAGCGAATTCTTCCAGAAACGAAGAACCAGGAATAGGGTCGACAAGACGCCAATCCCCCCCCCCCCCCCCCCCCCCCCCCCCCCCCCCC